GGTTCTCAACCTTTCTAACGCCGTGACCCCTTAATACAGTTCCTTCATGTTGTGGTGACCCCCCAACCATAAAATTATTTTCGTTTGCTACTTCATAACTGTAATTTTGCAGTAGGAGGAATAGTGCCACGTCATTGGTGTCAGTGGGAGGAATAGTGTCCCGTCATTGGTGTCAGTGGGAGGAAATAGTGCCTACGTCATTGGTGTCAGTGGGAGGAATGAGTGCCCTCGTCATTGGTGTCAGTGGAGGAGGAATAGTGCCACGTCATTGGTGTCAGTGGGAGGAATAGTGCCACGTCATTGGTGGTCAGTGGGAGGAATAGTGCCACGTCATTAGGTACAGTGGGAGGAAATAGTGCCCCGTCATTGGTGTCAGTGGGAAGGAATAGTGCCCCCTTCATTGGTGTCAGTGGGAGGAATAGTGCCCCGTCATTGGTGTCAGTGGGAGGAATAGTGCCCCGTCATGGGTGTCAGTGGGAGGAATTGTGCCCCGTCATGGGTGTCAGTGGGAGGAATAGTGCCCCCGTCATGGATGTCAGTGGGAGGTAATAGTGCCCCCCGTCATTTGGTGTCAGGGGGAGGAATAGTGCCCCCCCCTTCATTGGTGTCAGTGGGAGGACTTGTGCCCATCAAATTTTGGTATCAGTGGGAAGGAATAGTGCCCCGTCATTGGTATCAGTGGGAGGAATAGTGCCCCGTCATTGGTATCAGTGGGAGGAATAGTGCCCCGTCATTGTGTCAGTGGGAGGAATAGTGCCCCCCTTTCATTGGTGTCAGTGGGAGAAAATAGTGCCCCGTCATTGGTGTCAGTGGGAGGAATATGCCCCGTCATTGGTGTCAGTGGGAGGAATAGTGCCCCCGTCATTGGTGGTATCAGTGGTAGGAATAGTGCCCCGTCATTGTGTCAGTGGGAGGAATAGTGCCTCGTCCATTGGTGTCAGTGGGAAGGAATAGTGCCCCATCATTGGTATCAGTGGGAGGAATAGTGCCCCGTCATTGGTATCAGTGGGAGGAGGATATAGTGCCCCGTCATTGGTGTCAGTGGGGGAGGAATAGTGCCCCATCATTGGTGTCAGTGGGGGGAGGAATAGTGCCCCGTCAATAGGTGTCAGTGGGGGGAATAGTGCCCCGTCATAGGTGTCAGTGGGGGGAATAGTGCCCCATCATAGGTGTCAGTAGGGGGATGGAATAGTGCCCCGTCATTGGTATCAGTGGTAGGAATAGTGCCCCGTCATTGGTGTCAGGGTGGTAGGAATAGTGCCCCGTCATTGGTGTCAGTGGGGAGGAAATAGTGTGCCCCGTCATTGGTGTCAGTGGGGAGGAATAGTGCCCCGTCATTGGTGTCAGTGAGGGAGGAATAGTGCCTCGTCATTGGTATCAGTTGGGAGGAATAGTGCCTCATCATCGGTATCAGTGGGAGGAATAGTGCCCCCCCATCATAGGTGTCAGTGGGAGGAGGAATAGTGCCCCATCATTGGTGTCAGTGGGGGGAAATAGTGCCCCATCATTGGTATCAGTGGGGGGGAGGAATAGTGCCCCATCCTTGGTGTCAGTGGGGGGAGGAATAGTGCCCCATCCTTGGTGTCAGTGGGGGGGAGGAAATAGTGCCCCATCATATGGTGGTCAGTGGGGGAGGAATAGTGCCCCATCATTGGTGTCAGTGGGGGGAGGAATAGTGCCCCATCATTGGTGTCAGTGGGGGGAGGAATAGTGCTCCATCCTTGGTGTCAGTGGGGGGAGGAATAGGCCCCATCCTTGGTGTCAGTGGGGGGAGGAATTGTGCTCCATCCTTGGTGTCAGTGGGGGGGAGGAATTGTGCCCCATCGTTGGTGTCAGTGGGGGGAGGAATCGTGCCCCATCCTTGGTGTCAGTGGGGGAGGAATAGTGCCCCATCGTTGGTGTCATTTGGGGGAGGAATCGTGCCTCATTGTTGGTGTCAGTGGGGGGAGGAATAGTGCCCCATCGTTGGTGTCAGTGGGAGGAATAGTGCCCCATCATTGGTGTCTGTGGGAGGAATAGTGCCCCATCATTGGTATTAGTGACACCCAATGATGGGCACTATTCCCACTGACACCAGTGATACTTACCTTGCAAACCCCTGCTCCAGCCTGGGCTCGCTCGCTCCCTCCCTCTCCCATGGTACAGACACTTACCTGTCAGCTGTCTTCCTTCTCCGCCGCTCTCCTCCTCTTCACTCGCTCGATCTTCGCGGTGCCGCTCGGCCCCTCCTCTCCAAGCTCCACCTCCTTGCCGGTGATTGGCCGCCTGTGTGCCTGAGCTACAGTGCCGGCGGCCAATCACAGGCGAGGAGTTGATCTCGAGGTGTGTCCAGATGACAGGGGCGGCATGTCATCCCGCCCACACCTGGAGACGCGGTGGCGGCGGCGAGGAGCGGTGTCTCGGTTCCTAAGACCATCGGAAATATGTGTTTTTCCGATGGTCTTAGGCGACCCCTGTGGAAGCGTCGTTCGACCCCCCCAAAGGGGTCGCGACCCCCAGGTTGAGAACCGCTGAGTTAAACAGTATGCATAAAAATGATGATTTAGTCAAAATACTCACTTGCCTAATAAATTTGCACACAGTGTATGTGGTAGGTAGGGATGGTGCACCCAACTTCACATACATGATCTGTTCATAAACCCCAGGGACTGGGAAATGGGGGTGCAAAACAAAGAGCTGATTGTATGACCCGATTTGTTACCAGATCCCCTTTATGATTGCCTTCGCTTTGGTCTAGTCACCTTTTGGAATTAGTTTTTGTTGTTTCTATTCGAATATGGCTTTGATAAAGGCCTGGTAGATAGAAATGCAAAATTTGCAAGGATCTTGGTGTTTGTGCGTGTATTACGTGATGCTTGTAAATTGATTAAATAAAGCTGTGGATTTTAGCCTGACTCTGGGAGTGCTGGTCATTTTGATAATCTTTATTTTTGTATAACTAAAGCTTGCAGTAGAATTAGTAGAAAATTGTAGAAATTTCACTAAATTTTTTCATTTTAAGAATGTTCGATTTTCTGATAATTAGTGAGGGTTCAAATCAATATTCTTTGGACCACAGTGGTGAGAGAATAAGAGGGGGGAGAGATGGAAATTTTTTGTCAAACATACAAATTTCTAACAGTGCATGTGGTTTTTCTTCAATAAAATATATTCAATCCAAAACTGAATGTTAAAAGCAACTACTTTGGAAGCACTTTTGAAGGACATTTGTTAAGCTTCCTTCATTTTAGGGCTACGCCCTATTCATCCACCAGTCCATTGAGAGAGAGTCATTATTAACCATTGAGGCACTGAGGAAATGGATTGTAGTTGGGTAGGGCTTAATTTGGTGGTCCATCATGTTAAACAATTTGTAAAATAGTAAAACTTGCTACAGAGGGGTGCACATTTGAAACCTTTTTTCTAGCAATGTAATAGAGGCATATTTTAGAGTCTGATCTAAAACAGAATATTTAAATGGGTTTGACAGATTTAAGGTACTACAGTCTGGCATGTTTCTACTTTTAATACATCAACTTTCTTGATTTAAAATTTAGAAGGGCATTCTATTTATGTTTGTACTATTTTTGTAAGCTGACTAGTGTCTTTATTTTCCCTTTTAGAAACTGATTCCCCATCTGACCTGCAATTGGTGAAAAGAAGATGGCAATTCCCAAATGTTACTACAGTCCCCCAACCAGCTCTTGCTGGTTTCTCTGGTAGAGCATTTATGTCATGTCCATGAACAGAACCCGCAGCGCTCTAAACAACTTTTTAGATGTAAGTATGCTTTTACATTCTCTATATTTGTAATTGGAATATTTGATGGAATGTGTAACCAGTGTTTTGTACTACGCTTCATGTAAGTTTTAGACAACTCAGTCTGGGGATCTCACTTGGAAGAACAAGCGGCCAAGTCCTTAGTTCCTAAAGATATTTTTAAAATGTCTTCAAATTGGGAAGGGTTGTGAGAAATATGGGAGGCCTTCAGGTGGATCCCAAGAGCATTTCTGGGAAAAGTGAGGGGAGATCCAAGTACTGACAGCAAAACATTCCACTACAGATTCTAACCCTACTGCATTCTGTTTTATTAGAAAAGCTTTTTGGCTGCAGTTTACTAATTAAATATTTTTTTATGCGTTTTTTGAGTAGTATGTAGGCCAAGCACTGTGAGCAATCACACATAGAGAGAAACAAATGTTTCTGTGTTTTGTATATTATTTAATAACCTTTTATATTCAAAATATAAATGGAAGCAGACCCAGTAAGTATAAATTGTAAAAAAAAAAAAAATTCTACTTTTAATAGCATATATAGCAGAGGCAATCCATACTGAAAAAATAAAACACTTTTTTGTACTCTGTTATGAATATGTAACAGCTTTTTTTTTTTTTTTTTAAACTACTGCCAGATTTAGGTCACACAAACATTTAAAGCTTAAACCTGAAGGAGATAGCAGTGTTGAGGTGGGGAGGAAAGGAAACTGTAGCCAGTAAATATAGCTGATCTGGCAGTTTTATTATCAGTATTTTGTACTGCCTTTAAATGCACATTATCAGTTAAATAAGAAAACAGCTGTTACAGCATGGTCTGTTTCAAAAAGCTTTACCATATTGTGAGAGCCTGAATGTTTGTTTTTTTTTTTTACTAACTTGAAAAAAAAGCTATCAATGGTAGTCTCCTATTGCCTGTCCATAAAATCTGTAGGAAAGACTTCCTGATCAGGTAGATTTGCGTAAATCTCAACTGTAATCAGAGAAATGGATAATGGTTGGATAGGCATTGTGCTAAATATGTTCTTTTAATACACTTTTCCCTATTTAGAGCATTTACTAAAACTATAGTGCAAAATCTGGTGCAGCTCTGTTTAGAAACCAATTAGCTTTCAGGGTTTTCTGTCAAAGAAATTGAACAAACTGAAATTAGAAAATGTTTGGCTACGATGCACAGCTGCACCAGATTTTGCATTCTCTTGTCAATCAAATCCAGTGTGTCTACACATACAGCTACACAGTCCAAATGTGCACCAGAGCTTGACTGTGGTGCCGAATGCACAACGTAATCAAACAGACATGTTCATACATGTCCAATTTTTTTCTCAAAATTGAAAGTCTGGGAGAGGATGCTTCTCATGAAAGGTATAGCCATTGCTCATTCATGTCGGCATGTAGCATTGGAGTCAGACAGGTAACACATTTCCACTAAAAGCAATAGACAATTTAAGACGTTTCTGGTGCCTTAACATACAGCAGCACATCACTGTAAAGAGAATAAAAAAGGTGTGAGGCTTTAAAAACCTATCATTAAATTTGTTTAAAAGAGAAGTATTGTGTTTTTTTTTGTTTTTTTTGTTTTTTTTAAATCATACTTCCCTATTTGGATGCAGCATTGATCCAGGTTTCTGCTGGGTATTTGTGACCATCAGAGACCAACTCCATGTCTGGAATCTTGTGGCTCTAACTAGCTGTCTCCTGGCATGTGTGGTGTGAACATCCCATTAGGCAGCAGGGGTAAATCAAGAATCAGAAAGGGGTGGGCTGTTCCACTATAAAAAAAAAAAATCATTTTTCAAAAATATCTAACTATGCTGTCTACTTTAATGTGGGTAGAACTTTAGAGTTTTTATAGATGAGGCTCGTTCATAGGTGTTGCAACCATTGCTTGTGATGACATGTTTGCTTTGTGACCACAGCATGTGTACACTCCTAAGTGGATGTATGCCATTCTTAAGGGGAAGAGGGGGAGGGGGGGGGTAAAATTGCAGCCCAACTGCCTGCTGTTGTGTTTTTTTTCCCCCTGGTCGATTATACAGGCCCCAATGTTTTTACCTACAATAAAAAGAGGTTTTTCTTACCTGTTCTGTGCACTGGTATTGTGGTGAGCTGCATTGAAGTGTCTCTTCTGAGGTTCCCCACTGGCACTCTGAGCTCTTCTGTGTTGGCCCCAATAGTTAGCTGCTTGCTATGGGCACGCTCCTGAGCCGGACCTCGTGCATCTATAGACACACATAGCCCAGCTTGGCACTGCCCCTCCCCACTCCCTCCTTACTGTTTTGACAGTAGGAAGAGTCAGCGGCTGCGTTTGCTATTCGTCTGTCCTGTGAGACCAGGGAAAAAGAGCAGCACTGTTGCAGACAGGTAAAGAGCTGAATCGATACTGGTAAGTATTTAGAGAGGGAATCAAACCGTTAATGAAAAAGATTTTTTTGTTGTTTTGTTTTTTACCTTTAATACAGGTAACAAGTACTTTTTTTTTTTTACAAATCAATATACAGCTGTTACATGACCCAGCTCTTTGCCAGCCTGTCTGCAGGGAAACATAAGCAGGAGGAGCCTCTACTTCTCTGCTGCTGGTCAGATGTTCAAAATAAAAAAACAGCCTTTGGAGTAAAAATAAATATCAATAAACTGCTTTAATCTGGTATTATATAAATATATATATACTGTGTGTGTGTGTATTTGAAATCAAATCTTTATTTTGTGGCACTAACATGGTGTGGGGGGATTTCTGCCAGTCACAGGCTGTGCCACGCCCCTCCAGCCTGTGTCTTAGAATAAGAGGGAGATGACTCCTTCATTAATCTACATGTAATATCCCACCCTTTTGTGTTTTATCTGGTTAGTGGGCATGGAGGAGTAGGGAGGGAGTGGGCTGTCATTTACCACTGTGTGTACACCCACATGTTTGACTCTGTAGTCACATAGGCTGCGCAGATGTGAGAGAGAGGGAATAGAAACTCACTGAAAACTGAGCATGTGCAGAGTTGCCTCTACAGCTTCAAAGTCCCTAGCTGAATTGGGGACATAAACAGAAGGTGGAGATAGAGAACAGCAGGATCAACCAGTTTCTTTGCAAAATACAGAAAACGAATCTCATAGTGACTGAGTATGAACAGCATGTAATACAGCATTTGATAGTTTATGATGTGGGTTTAATAACACTTTAAGGTAAAAAAAAAAAAAACTTGTGACTTTAGAACACTCTAAATTATACTTATTCAAATCTGCTATCAAGTAAAGCTTTCTTTTTCCAGAATGAAAATAACTATAATTCCAGAAAAATAAAGATCTATAATATGCTGGGATAGACTGAATGTTAAATGTTTTAAGATGCCAAACTGACTGATTTGTGAAATGGAAATAAAAATAGGATGAGGATGGAGATTAATTGGAGAAGAGGCACTGGGGGCCAGGACTGAAATGGTTGGTTGGTTAGTTAGGCTGTCAATCTGCTGGAGATCCCTCCCCTGTCAGTCCTTTTCTCTTGGTGTCAGGAAAATCTGTCAGAAGTAACTCATACAGATAGCAGAAGAACAAAGCAGCAGACAGAAATTACACTTAGTGTTCTGGATTGAGACAAGTACACACTATAGAGGTATATGATTTGTTTATATTTCATGTTTTAGGTTTACAACCACTTTAAGTGAATGTTGGGAATCCCTCTCCTGTACAGCAACAGAGGTTTTTAGTTCCTCTTTAATACATATTGGTTGGTGATAATCCTTCTGTTTCCTAGTGCTTTGCCAAACCTTCACAAGAATGGGCCTCCTGACTCCGTTTGCCTTCAGTGATGAGTTCAGCTCCGTGAGACTGCAGCACAGCACAGCGATCACGGAACTACTAAAGGCTGCTAATCGGCACATGCACAAAGAGGTATTTTTAATATCATGTAATTATGTTCACTAATATATTGTGATCCAAATCTACCGGCTCACTTACTTGACTATAAGCCCAATTAGCTAACACAATCACTTGTGTCTGTGTCATGAATTAAAGGAAAAAGGCGGTTGAATCTGATATACATTAATGATGTTGTTTAGCCCCCAAAGATCTGTGAAATGATACAGAGTCTCGTGATCCAGATAGTGCTGTGTGTAACGGCACAGCTTATGATTAATATTTTAGTGAAGATATGAAGGCTGTCATTTTTTTATTAGGCTTTAAAGGTACAAGCTCTGAAATTGTCCTCCTTTTCTTTTTAGTGATCTGCTAATCCTAAACAAGCAATGCAGCCAGTAAAGTCTGAATACATAATCTGCATACTTTTGATTGCCTCCTTGCCACCATCCCATTTCCAGTTATTTGGACTATCAGTAAACAAAATGGAACATTGGTAAACAAAAGTGTATTATATTGCAGCTTACCAGTTCTTGTAGTGGCTGCATTAGTGTCCTCTGTTTTCACTCGCGATCCTGCCAATATGTCTGTTATTTTTCAACTTCCTTTTAACCAAGCTTTCCAGTGAAAGTTGTCAGATAGTTGAGGCAAACCATTTAACACTGACGTGTGCTTACAGTGATCATTGATCATTTTATGTTGCTCTAACTCCTTAAAAATTTATAAAACAGTAATATGGGTTTTGGGTTTTTTTTTTTAAGGCTCCATGAACACTAGGAGCATTAAAAATTGCTTTTCTGTTTTGTGCCGGCATTTAGTAATGTATAGTTGGTTGTTAAGGAGCAGGCAGCAATCTGGCCTCCTGAGTCCATACCATGCCCCCTCAGGTTTGGTATGGATTTTAAGGGGAACCCCACACCAAAATTAAAAAAAGATGAAGTGGGGTCCCCGCCCCACCAAATCCATACCAGACCATTTTTAAAAAAAGGAAAAGGTGGTCAGGAAAGGAGGGGGATGAGCAAGCAGCGCCCCCCACACCCCACCATGCTAGGCCACATACCCTCAACATGGAAGAATCCTCTCCCCATCCCCACCCCCAAAGCAGCTTGTCCCCAAGGGCCTCTTCCTCACAACCCTGGGAGATGATTGTCTTGATCTACGAGTGGGGTAGGTTAATGGAATCTGGAAGCCCCCTTTAACAAGATCCACTTGCGTTTTGGCGGGGGGAGGCAGTCCCCCTGTCAGAATACAATAGCACAGCAAGGGGAGATCGCCACACTAACATCAATTGATAAGTAAAGTGACCCCTTTCTTTTTTTTTTTTTTTTTTTTTCATTCAGCCTGCTGGGTTGAACAAACAAAAATTACTTCTAGCTTAACTCTGCTAGTGGATCCAATACTACCTTCTCCCCAGAATGACAATACTGCCGTCCAAGGGTGTCTTTTGTGTCTCCATCCAGTGTGGAGACACCCTAAGACAGGAAGTGTTGCTGGCCACTTCATCAGGTGAAAAAATTTGAAAAAAGGCTTAAAAATAGGAAAGTAATTTAACAACATCTAAGAATTGGTAAGCTGCAATATATTACATTTTTATTTTTGGATTAATCCTGCTTTAATTTATAAGGACAGATTTCACATACCAAGTATAATATAGGAAATGATTTATTGGTTTTGAAGAAATACAGAATAGAGTGTGAGACATAGTAAACCGGTAAACAAAGGTGAGTCTACACATTTGTGTGTTGATTTTATTTTCTGTGTTGTGGATAACACAATAAAACAGTTCCCACCTATGGGTATATGCAATATAAATATAATTTCCAGCCATCAAACTCTGTAAAAACAGACAATCGTGGACACTGACATCCAGTATGTGTTTTTAACACTGCCTCAGGAACACCACCCTAGACAGTCCTTTTCTGTAGCAGGCCCATCTGTAGTCTAATTTAGCTCCTGACTATCAGGCCCTTTCTCTGCAGAAACCCCCGTTTTCCAGTGCTCATGATTCTATAAATTTATCTATAATTATTTTTAAAGTGAACATGTGGGAGTAAAGTATATAAAAGGTGCAGACTCTGCAGCTATTACCACCCTGACTTTTTAGTGCTTGCAGAGTGGGGAAAATTGTCAGACTGGTTGTTGCAGATCAGTGATGTATTAGACTATGAAATCAGCTTCCATATTTTTATTTTCACGGGTGTCCTTTAAGTTTTGAAAAAGCATAATTCACATCTAATGGTGGAACTAACTGCTCTGTGTTTTCTTTAAGTCACTTTGATACATAAAAGCCAATGTTTCACCTAGTTCTTAATGCATGTGTTCTTATTTGTAGGAAATTACCAATGGTGACCTAAATACACATTTGAACAGGTAAGGAACCTATAGTCAGTAGCAGATCTGAAACTGGAACTTCACATGACCTCCATTAACTATAGACAGATTGTTTTGTTTAGGGCAAAGGATATGCTTGCCGAGGCACAGACTTCTCGTTACTTGAATGAATTTGAGGAAATTACACAGCTTGGGAAAGGTGGATATGGAAAGGTCTACAAGGTACAGCTAATATATCTGTAATTTTTATTTTATTTTAAAGAATGGCCACCCTGTAAAATGAAGGAATGATTCAGTCACATTTCGAAGCACAAACAATGCACTCCTCTGCTGTCATATTCGGGATAGAAAATGGATGTGCTTGAATAGATGATGATGGGATGTACTTCATGCATCCTCTTATATTTCTTAGGTGATGTTCCTAGTTCAGTTGAATTGCTAAGGAGGCCTGTTTCTGCCTGTTAGATTGTCATTTATTTTGCGACGGGAGGCACATTTTGAGACTCCAACAAGAAATTTCTGCCGCAGCAATGACCAAGATCTAGGAAGTTAGTGGGTGGGTCTACCCAGCGTGTCCATTAGGTCTTATATTGCAGTACATGGTGCTCCATGGTAAATCATTTTTAATTTCAGCATAATATTGATTTTATTTTGTTTTCAAACTAAGAGCTTGAGTCTTACGCTCCTTTCACACTGACAGTCCAATCAGAGCTGCCTGTCAGATTTTCAGGTGGACCCGATCAGACCATCTGTAGCTGTCTCTGGAACGGCAGGTGTCAGTGGACATATGTCTGCTGACACCGCCGGCATCTGATCCAATCCTGTATGCGAAAAATAGACGGATGGGGTAGATCGGATCACATGACAGTCGGGTGGAAATGGACAGGCAATCTGTTGCCATCTGACTGCCCCATTGAAAACAGCGGGCTGTGACTTTGTCAGCTCTGCAGCTGCGGAGTGAACACAGACACGTCATCCACTTGCTCAGCGTGGATCAGCAGAGAGATCCCTGCTGAGCAAGCGGATCCACTGGTGGGTCCGCACCATCTTCAAGGTGCATTTATTTAGACAATGTCTCAAACCAGAAACTCTCCAGGTGTAAGATCCTCTAACAACAAAGTCCACATTGCATCTGCTAGAATGATGTGTAACTATACCTAGAATTTATTTTTTTAGGTCCGCAACAAGCTGGATGGCCAGTTCTATGCAATAAAAAAAATTCTGATTAAGAAGGTGTCGCGCAGAGATTGTAAAAAGGTATGTGTAATAGGAAAGAGTGTGGTAATGGTGGATGAGAGAGTGAGGCTGTGAACTAAATGACCACACACTTTATCTAAGTAAATTAGACTATAATGTGTGTGTATGTATGTGTACACACCAGGGGTGGACTGACCATTCAAGCACTCGGGCACTGCCCGAGGGCCCACGGTCAGTAGGAGGCCCCATGAAATACCCCTGGTACCTTTTTTGGGTGTGCTTTGAGTGTGGGCAAGGACACAGGGGCCCCATGATCCCCTATTACCCAGGGACCCCATGAGCTGTCAGTCCGCCCCTGGTACACACTCACACTCTTTATTAGGTACACCTTACTAGTACTGGGTTGGGCCCCCTTTTGCCTTCAGAACTGCCTTAATTCTTTGTGGCATATATTCAAAAAGGTGTCGGAAACATTCCTCAGAGATTTTGGTCCATATTGATATGAAAGCATATCATTTCAAACCAGTCGGCCCATTCTCCTTTGACCTCTGACATCAACAAGGGATTTTCATCGACAGCTGCATCTCAGTGGATATTTTCTCTTTTTACGACCATTCTCTGTAAACCCTAGAGATGGTTGTGCATGAAAATCCCAGTAGATCAGCAGTTTTTGAAATATTCAGACCAGCCCATCTAACACCAACAACCATGCAACGTTCAAAGTAACTTAAATCTCCTTTCTTCCCTATTTTGATGCTTGATTTGAAGAGAGAGCGATATTGATTGAGAAGATGGTACTAAAGCCCACCTCCAGGTTAATTGTTTTTTTTTTTGTTTTTTGTTTTGTTTTTTTTTTTAGAGCGGAGAAAAGTGTAAACCTCTGTTAGATCTTTGTATATACTAATCTGTCCTGCATATCTCTATGCCATGAAAATCCAGGTGCTTTACCTATGGTGGTGCCATGAACAGCTTTGCAATGGAGAAATGGCCAGCACACCAACATAGTAACATACATAGTTAGTTTGGCTGAAAAAATACAAAAGTCTATCCAGTTCAACCATAGAAAGAAAAAAAAAAAAAAAAGAGGAGTTATAATCCTATACCCACAGTTGATCCAGAGGAAGGCAAAAAAAAACAAGCAAAGCATGATCCAATTTGCTCCTTCTGGGAAAAGAATTTCCTTCCTGATCCCCCGAGAGGCAATCAGATATTCCCTGAATCAACTTTACCTATAAATATTAGTATCCAGTTATATTCTGTGTATCTAAGAAACAATCCAGGCCTTTTTTGAAGCAACCCACTGAGCTGGCTAGAACCAACTCTTGAGGGAGTCTATTCCACATTTTCACAGCTCTCAATGTAAAGAAACCTTTCCATGTTTGGAGACTACATTTCTTTTCCTCCAGACGTAAAGAGTGCCCCCTTGTCCTCTGTGATGACCTCAGGGTGAATAGCTCTACACCGAGTTCACTATATGAACCACTGATGTATTTATACATGTTGATCATATCCCCCCTTAATCTCCTCTTCTCAAGAGAGAATAAATTCAGTACCTCTAATCTTTCCTCATAACTGAGCTCATCGATGCCTCGTATCAGTTTAGTTGCCCTTCTCTGCACTTTCTCAAGTTCCCCAATGTTCTTTTTGTGAATTGGTGCCCACAACTGAACTGCATATTCCAGATGAGGTATAACTAATGATTTGTACGGGGTAATATGATATCTCTCTCTCTGGAGTCTATACCTCTTTTATTACAAGAGAGGATTTTGCTTGCTTTAGAAACCGCAGCTTGGTATTGCATGCCATTATTAACCTCCTTAGCGGTTTTCCCGAGTGTAGCTCGGGGTAGAATTTCTATACCAAGAACGGTAACCCCGAGCTACACTCGGGCTTACCATGCAGCGTTCTCTGGGGGTCCCTGCAGCACTTACCTTGTCCTTCGCTCCCACGATGTGTCCCCTGCAGCGTCCCCGTCCATCTCCTCCAGCGGATGCCGGCATCTGACTTCCGTGTTCCGGTCCCCGTGACGTCGGAACGTTCGGGCGGCGGAACCGGCGGGAAATTTGAAATTTTTAAAAAATGACATTTTTGCTGTCATTGCTTTTTCACTGCATTTCACGTACATTTTGTCCCCACTGCTTTGTCCTGTGCCCTGCCTGCATTTTGACTGTTCTTTCTGCCTGGAAACTTAGAAAAGTCCATGGCGGCCAAAAAGCGTCCCTTTACATCAAAAGCGGTTTTAGAACAGCGATAGTAAATCAGAACCACTTGCAGAATTGAGTGATAATGATTTGTGGGGAAATTCGTCATCAGACACTGAAAACGATTTTGCGACTTTGCTCAGCGATGTGCGAATTTGCCTCTGTATTTCAAATTTCAGTGTTTTTGGTTTGATTATATTATTGAATTAAATTGATTATTATTATATTATTATTTTTTTATGATTATTAATTAAATTATAATTTATGATTTTGTGTTTCAAGTTTTATCATATCCGGAATGTTTAATAGACTCTTGTTCGGACAGATTTCAGTGAGTTATTCCTAAAAATTACAGCCTACAATTAAAAACTACATATTTCCATGCAAAAAAATGGTACCGCTTTCAGCACAAAATTCCTGACATGATCATACCGCCAGGGAAGGTTAAGCTTGTGATCTACCAGAACTCCCAGATCCTTCTCCACCATTGATTCCCCAAGTTGTACTCCCCCCCCAGTATGTATGATGCATGCATATTCTTAGCCCCCAAGTGCATCACCTTACATTTATCAACATTAAACCTCATTTGCCACATAGTTTCCCAATTAAACAATGCATTGAGGTCGGCTTGTAAGTTGAAGACATCCTATAAGGACATTATTCCTCTGCACAGCTTTGTGTCATCTGCAAAGACTGAAATGGGATTTTTTTTATCTCAGACCCTATATTATTATTATACAGGATTTATATAGCGCCAACAGTTTGCGCAGCACTTTACAATATAAGGTACAGTACAATTACAATACATTTCAGTACAGAAGGAATGTGAGGGCCCGGCTCGTGGAGCTTACCCTAAAGGAAGGGGGAGATGATACAAAACGTGATAGCTGCGGGGGATGATCTGGTGGAGGTGATTCAAGTACAGTTCTTAGGTGTAGGTGGGGTAGACTTCCCTGAAGAAGTGCGTTTTCAAAGATCGCCTAAAGGCAGACAGGGTGGGGGCTGACCGGACATGCAGTGGTAGGGAGTTCCAGAGGATGGGAGAGGCTCTGGAGAAGTCCTGGAGGCGAGCGTGGGAGGAGGTGATGAGGGAGCTAGAGAGGAGGATATCATGTGAGGAGCAGAGTGGGCGATTTGGCCGATATCTGTGGATGAGGTCAGTGATGTAGCTAGGGGCAGTGTTGTGGATGGCTTTGTAAGCTGTGGTTAGTATTTTGAATTATATACGTTGGGTTAGTGGAAGCCAGTGAAGGGATTGGCAGAGAGGGGCAGCAGACGCTGATCGGTTGGTAAGGTGTATGAGTCTAGCAGCAGCATTCATAATAGACTGAAGGGGGGATAGCCTGTGTAATGGTAGACCAGCGAGGAGGGAGCTGCAGTAATCGAGGTGGGATATAACCAAAGCGTGAATATATCGTTTATAAATATATTAAAAAGTAAGGGTCCCAACACTGAACCTTGGGGTACACCACTGACAACCCTAGACCATTCAGAGTATGAATCATTAACCACTACTCTCTGAATACGATCTTTTAGCCAGTTTTCTATCCATTTACATACAGATTTTTCCAAGCGCGTAGACTTTACCTTACACATTAGCCCGTGTGTGGGGAACTGTGTCAAACGCTTTTGCAAAATCCAAGTATATCACGTCCACCGCCACCCCTCTGTCCAAGGTTTTGCTCACCCCCTAATAAAAAGAAATCAGATTTGTTTGACAACTTCTGTCTTTCATGAATCCATGCTGTCTGTTGCTTAAAATATTTTTTTACAGCAAGAACTCATCTATGTGGTCTTTTATTAAACTCTCCAGTATCTTCCCAACTATAGAAGTTAAACTAACAGGTCTATAATTACTTAGTAAAGATTTTGACCCCTTTTTAAATATTGGCACCACATTAGCCTTATGCCAATCAAGTGGTACTATGCCAGTCATTAGAGTCCCTAAAAATTAGAAACAATGGCTTTGAAATGACAGAGCTCAATTCTTTAAGGACCCGTGGGTGTATGCCATCCAGTCCAGGTGCTTTATTCACCTTTTATACTGTCTAAATATTTTTGGATCATATCAATTGTGAGCCAATGTGGATCATCTGGAGCTGTCATTCAATAAAGATTTACAATCATGAGTCATTAACATATGGCATAACATATGTTAACAACATAACAGTTTTAACATATGGGGACATGCAGGACCTCTTTCTTCCAGTTTATGTATGCTATTGTGTCCTGTTTAACCAGCCTACTTTTTGGGCAGTGAATTAGCAGTGTGATTAAGTGGAATGCGTTCGGAGCTGCACCTGGTGCTGGAGATAACCTGAATTGTTGGATGAGTACTAGAATTGAGCAGTAGACTGTTGGCTTTAGCTTCATCTTCCAAGCAGGCCCATAGCCTTTTCAGCAGATAGCAGTGTCCTGGAAATAGAGAACTGCATTCTCTCAGGTACTTGGGCATCTGCCTCTAATGCTATTGGTAAATTTAAGATTTAGTGGTATAAATAATCAAAATAATCAGAATAATGAATCATGTGACACATAATCAGTGCATGAGAATGGATATGTGAAAAAAAAACTCTGTGCAAAATCTGTGACACGTCCAAACTGTCCAAATTCCTGCAAATCAGTGATAACGTGCATTTTCAGGTGAAAACCTCCACCATTCCTTTTAGGGTACTCTTTCTCACCATTTAATTTTGAACCCTCACTACAAAGGTCCATAGCCCATATTTCTTTAAACCAGGAATCAGACTTGTGAATGGAGCCAGTAATAATAACTCTTCAGTGTAGTCTGTCCTGCAGAATTCACCAGCACATATCCATTTGATCATAGGACCCAGCACTGCAGGATGATCGACTGACCAAGCTACTCAGGCGTACACAAAGTAATCACATTCAAAGGAGACAAAGAAGCAACACAGTGCTCACCAGAATAGATTTATTATAATAAACAGTGTATTCATATGGATGTAAAGAAGAGAATGCTCCACATTATACAAAGCATGTGGCAGAGCAGCTTTGTCTATATACAACAACCTGTATGCTACCAAGCAATATCTGTATTCCTCCAGCCCACAAACAACCAACTTACGCCAGGATCGCTAAGCTCCACCCAAACACTAAATTTATTCATTGATTTAATTAGCACAGCATTCATGAACCTGTATCTTGAAAGATGACTTGCGTGATACTAAGTCTTGTTTTAAAATAAAAAATCTGCCACATTTACCTGCTCTGTGCAATGGTTTTGCTCAGAACAGCCCCTTGCTGCTTGTTCTGGGGGCATTTGTGTGTGCTCTCTCCCAAGCTGCCTCCTTCGGCCCCACTCCCTTTTCACTGGCTGTGATTGGCCAGTGAAAGGCTGTGGCAGGCAAGAAACATTGGCTCTCCCTGCAGTGTCTGAACCAATGAGGCTGGAGAGGTGCTGCTCTCATGCACATCGATGGATCAAGCTCAGGTGAGTATTGGGGGGGCAGAGGGGGGAGCTGCACACTTAAGGTTTTTTTTTTTTTTCTACCTTCATGCGTAGAATGCATGAAGGTAAAAAAAAAAAGCCTTTAGAACCACTTTAGTCACATCATGCCTGCAGCTTTAGTGTTTAGGCTGTTGTGTGAATATATTAATTTAGAAATTAAAGACTACTTGTTACTAGCAGACAGATATTCCTTAATGCCTGAACTCCTCTTACCTAAATTGGTGCTTTTCCCAAGTCCCTAATTTTCTTTTAAACTTCATACATACAGCTGGGGTATGGATGAATAGGTAGAGAGCTAGCATTGATGAGAGTCTCTATTAACATTCTCCTTTTAAATAGTTGTAGTGTTGTAAATCTTGCTGCAGTTTGCTGATGGATACTCTTTTTCTGTACCAGGTTCTTCGTGAAGTTAAGGTGTTGGCTGGCCTGCAGCATCCCAATATTGTTGGTTACAATACAGCCTGGATGGAACATGTTGAGCCGCCACACTCAAAATGTGAGTGATATTGCCCTTTTTATTAATTCCTTAAGATAAGAGACCCTGTTGTCCTGAAAACTAAGGCCCAAACACATTCTAAAAGAAGGTTAGTTAACCACTTGCCCTCCAGATGATTTGCCCCCTTTCCTGACCAGGCCATTTTTTGCGTTACGGTGCTGCGTTACTTTAACTGACATTTGCACAGTCATATAATGCCGCACCCAGATGAAATTTACGTCCTTTTTTTCCCATGAATTGAGCTTTCTTTTGGTGGTATTTGATTGCTTGTGTGTTTTTTATTTTTTGCGCTGTAAGCAAAAAAAGGCCAACAATTTTGAGAAAAAAAAACAATATTTTGGACTTTTTGCTATTAAACATGTCCAGTAAAAAAAAAAAAAATCGGATTTCATAAATTTAGGCCAAAATGTATTCTGCTACATGTCTTTGCTAAAAAAAAAATCCCAGTACGTGTAAATTAATTGGTTTACGTGAAACTTACAACGTATACAAATGGTGGTATAGATAGTGGGGGTTTTTTTTTTTTTTTGTCCTAATAGTAATGGCGGCGATCAGCGACTTTTAGCGGGACTGCGGCAGGCATTCTGACACTGGGGGGAACTAATTAGGTGTCACTGACATCCCCAGTGACACCAATACAGTGATCAGTGCTAAAAAAAAAACAGCACTGACACTGTATTAATGACACTGTGAGGCGTGATCAAAAGGTTAACTGCGTGTAGGGAGTGTTTTACTAGGGGACTGGAGGTGTGTGCTTCACTGTAAGCACACTGATCGGGATGGCTGTGCTGTTCACAGCCATCCCGAGCAGTGTGTCGAAGTTGACGGGGAGGAAGACTGTATAACAGTCTTCCTCCCCGTTGGTGATTGAGGGTAATCACTGGCAAAATCACAAATTTTTACATGATTTTGCGCACCCGTGTCGCTGTGTAGCAGTATATCTGCTATACGACGGCAGGTAAGCGGTTAAGTTGGCCATAGACAGTTTGTTTTTCTCTGTTCAAATCAAAAACAGATTCCTCTATCCATTCCAATGAGGTGGAATGGAGGAATCAACCCTGCCTGGGACATTTTATTATGACAGCAGATTCCTCTACTGTCAGAATACACTCGTCAGTGGCTGCAGCTGCTGATCGAGAAGGGTTTTTCAACTTGTCTATTCGACAGAAGTCGATCGAATAATTGATATCTGTTGAACAGGGATGGCCACACTAATCAAAATTTGCCTGGTTCCTGGTGAAACAGCCAAATTTCTATCCATCTTTGGCTAGCTCCATACTTGTCTGTCCTGCGGGCAGCGACTACTAATTTTGATTTGTTCAAGAGCTATGGCTGCTGCTGCTGGTATCTGGCACGTCCAAGTGTGTCATATGCCTGTTTCCCTTCTGAGTGCCATGCTTATATGTGCCGGCTATTACACCACTACTGTATCCTGTAATGATAAGGATTTTGATGTGATTCATTTAAAAGACATTCTCATATTTCTCTCCTTTTGGAAAGGGGGCATTTTAACCAGTGGATGAGGATTGTAAACTAAAGTGTTTAAAGTGAACACATGGCCAGGTGTTGGATATTATAAGCAAAACTTAATCCATAATAACTTGATAAAAAATAATGTTCTTTAGCAAGGAACATACATTCCACATTGATAATTATGCTACCACAATTAGTGTGTGCTGTAAATTGCAGTGTTCCAGTTTCTTCTTGACGGAGGCTGCCATTTTGTTGAAGCCCAGAGCACCTGAACAGCAGTAAATGTTTAGGTTGTCAGTAGATCAGTCTTTACATTTTTGGCACATGCCAAATATACTTTAGAGAGCAACTGAACATTTGCAGGACAGGGTGAGACAGCATATTACTGAATTCTAAACAGTATAGGCACCTATTTTTAATGTTTTATATAGTTGTATCTTCGAAAGGGGCAAGCATGAGATTTTCTAGTAGGACAATTTTCAGGACTAAAGCTTCTCAATAAGTATTTATATATTCTTAAAGCGGAGTTCCACTCAAAAGCGGAAGCTCCACTTATTTGCCTCCTCCCCCCTCCACTGCAACCTTTTGGGGGGGGGGGTGAGAGCGGATACCTGTTTTTTGACAGGTACCCGCTCCCATTTCTGGCTCAGTTCTGCCACCTCCTCCCTCCTGCAGTCTCCTGGGAACTTTCACAGGTCCCAGAAGACTACCAGACCAGATCAGGAGGCGCAGTGTGACTCACGCATACGCAGTGGGCACCAGGCTTGAAGCTGCAAGTTGTCACAGCCTGGTGCCCACAGTTGAGATGCCAGCGCCATGGTGGGGATAAGGGACGGCGTGGGTGAGAACATCGCTGGACTCTGGGACAGGTAAGTGTGTGTTTCTTAAAAGTCAGCAGTTACAGCTTTTGCTGACGTTTAATAACACAAAAACGGCTGGAGCTCCGCTTTACTTAGCAGTGAATTCAGTAAATTAGCTTCTAAACTAGCCTTCATTGACCTTGGCTGTGGGCACTGTGGAGCAATCCCTCCACAAAATTCACAGCAAAAGCACTGAAATAATTCTCTTAGCAGATCAGTTTTGCAGTGGGCTGTTAATGTAAACACGTCTATGAATGACATTTCTTCAGTGTAGTTTCAGAAGGACAATAATACATTTTGTGGAGACAAAATAACTGTTATAGTATCCTTTATATTCTAAATATGTATTTTTTTCTTATTAATTATCTATAGTCTACAGGGGTTTGAATTTCTTTGTGTGGCCACTTTTTCACAGCATGTCATTGTAGGTAGGTATAAGCCTCCCTGTTTCTGCTCCTGTTGGTTAGCATTATGTGGTGTGAGGGGGGGTGGCTCAATACACAGTTCTACAGAGCATCTGACACTGGAATGCCTTTTGGAGCTCTCTTATTGCAAGATTTTTATACTAAAAGTGTTTGTATTATTTTCAACTCTTTATTGGAGAACACTTTTCTGTTTTTCTAGTTGACCAGAATTCTTTAAATTATGATTTTTCCCATTGTTCCTTAATATGTCTCTATTTGTATTTTTTTAGGCAAAACTGCTCCCACATTAAAAGCTATTAGAGGTTCTTCCAACCAAAGGCCTCAGGAGTAAGTATTGCTGCATGTTTTATTTATTTATTCATTTTTTATGTCTTGCTACTTTCATCATGACATATTCCCATTCTTATAGTTTATATTTTCCCAGTAGGTTAATTTACTTACCCCTCCATGCTAGTTTGCAGTGTTTTTAATTCTCTGTTTTGCTGATCCATATTATCTTTTGCCTGAAACTGGAAATTCAGCCAAATTGATTTTTAAAGTTTTTGACAGAGTTAAGAGCAATTTAAACCTCTGCCAGATTAAGGCAGAATTCTTGGATAATCCTAACTAATCTTAAAAATGCTGCCTCTCCTCTTCCTAACACCTTTGCTTGACTGACTTGGTAAGCAAGAGGTACAGTATATACGTACCTATTTTCAGTCTGCTCCAGTCCAGTCATGTGATCTCCTGTGTCAGCCAGTGGTGGCTGTAGGGGAGAGGAGAGAGTGTTTAGCAATGGCTATTAGCCATAGGCACCCATGGCCCATATGGTCTGGGCACTCCCTCCTCTCCCCTGCTGCTACCGCTTGCTGATGTGGAAGAGCTGGATCACATTACTGGATTAGGATTGTGTATATGTAAGTTTTTGTTTTGTTGTTTTTTTGTTAGTTTTTTTTATATATATTGGTTGAACTACATGGACTTTTTATTTATTTCAACCTAACTATATAACTAGCTGAAAAGCTGGATAATAGCATATCAAGCGTAGTTTGAGCTTGATTGGCTGATTCAGAGGGCAGTGGAGACATTGGGGGTCTAATAGATCCCTGATGTCACCATAAAGAGTACTTGTCACTTGGTCAATGCTATCACACATTTGCTGTTTTATGGGTGTGTACCATTTTGAGTTTTCACATATTTAATATCCAAATATATATATATATATATATTATTTATTTATTTTTTACTGAAAATTTAGACACAGTTGCTCAAATATCGTACAGCATAAAATGTTTCAACTACCATTTTGTTTTCATTCTACAGGCTTTTATGCTTCTAGAAAATATATATTGTTTTGGGGGTTTTAGGAAATGTTCTAGCCTAAAATGCAGATTTTAACATGCAAAAAACAAAAAAATTGCTCTGGAGGCAAAGTGGTTAAAGAACAACTGTACAGTTATCCTTTAAGGTTGCTCTTCTAGAATGCCCTGATTTCAAAACTAGGGGCACCAAGTATGAGGTCTGTTTTCATTCCCCCTCCAACAGAGCATTTGCCTTACTACTAGTTGTATATTACAGTCTTGTTTTGGGAACTGGCACGGCAGTGCATATTAAAAGGAATGTACATTATTATCCAATACTGCAGTGATTTTCGATGAGTTATTTTATACAGGCCTTTTACTTATTTTGATGTATATCATATCTTGTTGAGGTTTTTGGCAGTTATTCATTTTTTTTTTCCCTGCAGACATTTTAAAGATATCCAGAGCACAGAGAGCAGTGATGGCTCCATTGTGTTTGCTGACTCTGGAGAGGGGAACCCCCCTGCCGCCTCTGCTTCACAGAGTATTAACATGATGTCTGTAAAAAGAAAGACGTGTTCTGCTGAGAGCAAGATGCAAAACTTTACTGCATCTGATGTTTATTACTGCAGGAACAAAGACTCGAATGCCAATGTCCGCCCAGTGTCCAGTGTATATAAAAAGTTTGATACATCTCCGGAGCTGTGCCGGAGAGACCGTTGTCCGTTCAGCTCGGAGGATGATATAGATGATGGAAGTGACTCATCTTGTGATGAAGAAGATTGTCCTCACAAGGAATTATGCTTACATCGATACTTTGAAGTATGCAAAAACATCTTCCATATTTGTGTACATTGTTAATCTACATACTAGACGTTTACAATTTCAATAGTAAGTGTTTAGTACCTCTGTCATTGCGGCAGGAAATAATGTGAGATTTCTCCCTAGAGAGAAAAAAAGCTGAAAAATTTGCAATTAAAACCTAGAAAAAGATGCTGTGGCTGTAGCTCGGTTTCGAAAATGGAGCTTCCACTTTTCCAAAGCAGTTTGAACATATTAAATATCTTAGGACATTGTTACATACTGGAGTATTTTTTGGATTATTAAAGTCATCTGCTTAAAGATTTATCTAAACGCAAAAAATGTAATATGTTGCAACTTACAAAATCTTATATGTGGTGGCTGTATTAAATTTTTTTTTTTCCCCCTTTATTTTCACCTTGTGATCATGCAAATCACACACTTCCTGTGTGATTTGCATGGTTGTTACACAGGCAGGTTGGACCTCAAACATGTATGCCTTTGTCATATCTGTTACATTGTAGATTGATGGAACTAGTTTACACAAGAAAGATTAGGTTGGTTGTGCTTTCTTTTAAGTTCACAGGAAGAGACAGGAAACTACATTTTTGACAGAATCATCATGTATTTGCTGTACATGCTGAAAATGTTCTTAGCCTGAACAATTAAGCTAATGTAGCCACCACATCTAGAGACTGGTAAGCTGCAATATATTAATGTAGAATTCTAGCGCTCAAGGCTAGATTTACCCCTATAAAACAAAAAAGAGAAATGTACATGTGTTTGCAGGAAAAATGCATTTATTTATTTACAGGGGCTGTCAAAGCATTGCACCTGCAATCAGTGGATCGTGGGTGCAATGTCAGGCTCCTGCAAACTCCTTCCACTAGCTCTCTGTCCACACTTCTGTATGGACTGTCAGTTGGGGAGCTGGAGGAAGATTCAATGGACTACTAATAGGGCAAAGTGAGGGTAGAGTGGGAGGCATTTGCACCATGTTACTTGTTACACCCTAAATATGGCTGTAAAGTGGTGCAAAGGATGAACATCGCCTTTAAACACTTGACAACTGGGTTATAGCCAAATGACGGCTACCACATGGTTGTCTAGTTGTGGGAGAGCGTCATATAACGTCCTCCAGAAACACACCCCCTGGGGTGCGCACCCAGCGAGCTCTGTGATCTCTGTGTCTGTGAGACACAGCTGATCACATGACATGGTAAAGGGCCAATGACAGCACCCTTTTACCACGTGATCAGCTGTGTCCAATGACACAACTGATCACAATGTCATTAAATTAGCCGGTTATCAGCTGCACTTTCCTCTCACGCTGTCAGCATGAGAAAAGAGAAGAGCTGGTAATCGGCAAATGTATTTAGGCGTTCTAGTGCAGGTCAATCAGTGCTGACAGTCAGTGTCCAATGCCGCCAGTCAGTGATCATCAGTGCCCATCAGTGCAGCCTCATCAGCGTACATCAGTGAAGGAGAAAAATTGCCTTAGAGATGGAATGGCATGCACATGATGTCGCAATTTCCACCTTGGCCTCAGAGACTTCCTTGTATTTATTGGTAAAAATGCAGGGCCTCTCCTAAATGATGGAGAAACACTCAGCCCAACTTCTAGCAGCAGACAGGACATTGGAACACAGCTCCACTTATTGTATGTAGCTAATGCTACTACGGGATATTACAGTATCAATCTGTAATGTAAATCGTTAGTTTAAGGCTTCTGGGCCCAAACAAACGATTTAAAGTGATAATAAAGCTGTAATTCTACTTTGGTTTTTTTGTGCATTTACAGGTGCATCTCAATAAATTAGAAATATGATTAAAAAGTTAATTTATTTCAGTAATTCAATTCAAAAAGTAAAGCTCGTATATAGATTCATTACACACAGAATCATATTTTTCAACCATTTCTTTCTTTTAACTTTGATTATGGTTTATAGCTAGTGAAACCCCAAAATTCAGCATCTCTGAAAATTAGAATATTACATAAGCTCAATAAAAAAAAAAGGATTTTTAATACAGAAATGTTGGCTTACTGAAAAGTATGCTCTCAACACTTGGTCGGGGCTCCTTTTGCATGAATTACTGCATCAATGCGGCGTGGCATGGAGGCGATCAGCCTGCGGCACTGCTGAGGTGTTATGGAAGCCCAGGTTGCTTTGATAGCCTTCAGCTCACCTGCATTGTTGGGTCTGGTGTCTTATCTTCCTCTTGACAATACCCCACAGATTCTCTATGGGGTTTAGATCAGGTGAGTTTGCTGGCCAATCATGCACAGTGATACCATGATCATTAAACCAGGTATTGGTACTTTTGGCAGTGTGAGCAGGTGCCAAGTCCTGCTGGAAAATGAAATCAGCATCTCCATAAAGCTGGTCAGCAGAGGGAAGCATGAAGTGCTCTAGATTTTCCTGGTAGAGGGCTGCACTGACTTTGGACTTTTGGAAATTTCACACTGGACCTCATGCAACTTGGATTCTGTACCTCTTCCTCCAGACTCTGGGACTTTGATTTCCAAATGAAATGCAAAATGTACTTTCATCCACAAAATAGGGCTTTGGACCACTGTGCAACAGTCCAGTCCTTTTTCTTCTGAGCCCAGGTAAGACGCTTCTGACATCGTCTCTGGTTCAGGAGTGACTTGACACAAGGAATGCGACAGTTGTAGCCCATGTCCTGGACACGTCTGTGTGTGCTGGCTCTTGAAGCACTGACACCAGCCGTAGTCCAATGCTTGTGAATCACCCCCAAATTCTTGAATAGCCTTTGCTTCACAATCCTCTCAAAGCTGTGGTTATCCCTGTTGCTTGTGCACCTTTATCTACCACACTTTTTCCTTCCACTCAACTTTCCAATAATATGCTTGGATATAACACACTGTGAAAAGCCAGCTTCTTTAGAAATGACCTTTTGTGACTTATCCTCCTTGTGGAGGGTGTCAATGACTGTCTTCTGGACAACTGTTAAGTCAGGCGTCTTCCCCATGATTGAGTAACTTACCGAACCAGACTGAGAGACTATTTAAATTCTCAGGAAACCTTTACAGGTGTTGAGTTAATTAGCTGATTAGCATGTGACATCAAGAGTCTAAATCTTGGACCTTTTCACAATATTCTAATATTCTGAGATACTGCATTTTGTTTTTTCTCTTGCTGTAAGCCATAATCAAAATTAAAGAGATGCTTGAAATATTTCATAATTATATCAAATATATGATGATATTCTAATTTATTGATATGCCCCTCAATAAATTATAATATATAATTATAATATATATGATGTATTTAGGCTGTTTTTTTTTTTATTTGTTTTTTTTTTTAACTATTGTGTTATGTGGGATGTAGTTACTATCTATTAAAGCTGTTTAAAAATGGTAGCCATGGCATTTCTTTCTTTCAGATACAGTATCACTTGATGCTACATATACAGATGAAATTATGTGAAAAGTCTTTGTGGGATTGGATTGAAGAGAGAAATGAGCGTTACAGGAAAGAGAGAGCTTCTTCAAGTAAGTCAGAATATTAAAAAGATCTGTTTGTTTTTATATGTATTAGTGAATTAAAATGGGTCAGGTAGCCAAGTGGGCAGAGCCTGCAGCCATCCAATAGAGCTAGGAGACTCTTGTTTCAGCAGGTTTATCCTAATGTTGACAGTAGATGTGTGTTATGGTCATTACTGCAGTTTATTAAATCTGACTATTTTAAACTCCCTGAACTACTGTTGGGCAAATTATAGGCACAAGCTAAGCACATCCATAGCCAGGTGCATCTACACCTGGCTCTGCTGGCAATTCTCTAGGCTCCGTTCACACCTGAGCATCACGTTTTTGGGCGTTTTGTTGTGCGTATTTATGCATGTTTTTGTACAGCGTTTTTAATCGGCTATAGAGAAAAATACAATTTGTTTCATCATTTGTGGCTAGGTTTTTTATTTTTTTTTTTGTTTTGTTTTGTTTTTTTAGCTTTTCCATCAGCTTATATTTATTTTATTAGACTTTTTTTTTTTTCTTGGGTAAGGGGTTAGAGATAAGGTTGGGTACTCGGGGTTAAATTTAGGGTTAGAGTTAGTGGTTCAGTGTTTGGGCTGGGGGTTAATTTTTTATTTAATATCTTCTTCTTATTGGTAGGGTGTTTACATGTTTTTATGATTTATTTTTAGTTATTTTTTTATTCATTTATTATTGTTGAGTTTTTTTTCCAATACTTTTATTTGAGCAGAAAAAGTTTCAAAAATGTACAAAAGCATGCAAATTGCGCATTTCAGTGCATTTCTATGGGGAAAAAATAGCTTCAAAAACTTACCAAAAGTATTTCATAGTACACCACGGGACACAGAGCAGGCCATAATAATGACTATGTGGGTTATATGCCACCTATAGGTGAATGGACACTGGCCGACCAATCAAACAGGAAGTCTTCCCCATATAACCCCTCCTACACAGGAAATACTCAGCTTTTTCGCCAGTGTCTGTAAGGTGGATGGTCACTGAACACGTTCTGCATGTGCTCTGTGAGCATACTGGGAGGTCTGGAATTATTCTACTGAGAATCAAGGGCCTCAATTGGATCCATTCGAAAAGCTGTTAGCCAAAATGGATGGTACCTGAGCCTAGCTGGGTAAGGAGAAGAATCCTCTTGGTTTTGTCTGTAATGCGTCTTTACGGCGCTGGACCCTGCATTTTCAGAACCCTGTGCAGTTTTGTCTGACCAAGATGCTTCCGGCAGAGTGCTATAAGGATCCAAGACAGTGGCCCCCATTTAAAAGAGGGGGACCGAGTCCTTGAAGGTCTTTGAGACAAGGCCCACTGTGATTAGTGAAGGTTGGTCCCTGGCTAAAGTTCAGGGGCCTGTGGCTGGATTGGTAAGTGGTCCTCTATGTACTTGTTTTTAGCCTGTTCCTGCCTGTACTACCTATTTTTTGCCGCTTGAGGGAGTCTTTTGCAGTGAGCACCGTGTGGACACATGAGCGCGTGCACACGTACATGTGCAGTAGGACTAGGAAGAGGATGTCAAACAATGCCAGGCTCTCGGGTTGGGGTGCTGTTCTAGAAGGGACCACAGTTCAGGGGACTTGGTCGCCGCAGGAAAAGATCCTTCCCATCAATATCCTGGAGCTTCAGGTGGTATGGCTTGCCCTGAGATACTGGATGACCAGGCCTCATGGTTGGCCAGACAGGGTCCAGTCCGACAATGTCACAGCAGTGGCAAACATCAACCTCCGAGATGATACCAAGAGCCGGAGGGCTCAGGGGGAGGTAAATCACATTCTGGCTTGGGCAGAAGGGCATGTTCCAGTTCTTTCAACAGTATTCATTCCAGGAATAGAGAATTGACAGATGGACTACCTCAGACATCAACAGTTGTTTCTGGGAGAATGGGTTCTGCATCCCGAAGTGTTCTCGGCAATCTGCTAGCGTTAGATGTGCCCAGACATAGATTTATTGGTGTCCAGGTTCAACAGCAAGGTGGACAGGTTTGTGTCCAGGACACGGGACCCTCTTGCGAAAGGGGTGAATGCTTTGGTAATACCATGGGATCAGTTTTCCCTAATCTATGCTTTTCCCCCAATTCAGCTTCTCCCGTGGATCTTATGCAAAATTTGAGACAAGGTGATTCCGGTGATATTAGTGGCACCAGCCTGGCCCAGGAGGTCTTGGTACCCGGACATTTTCAGGCTAGCAGTGGGCAATCTATGGTCTCTGCCAGATCGGCCAGACCTGCTGTCTCAGGGACCTATATTGCACCCAGCTTAATGGTCCCTGAATTTGACGGCATGGCTATTGAAACCCAAATCTTGAAGGACAGCGGAGTGTCAGGCTCGATTAACCACACAATGTTGAATGCTAGAAAGCTGGTTTCCAGGAACATTCATTATAGAACTTGGAAGACATTTTATTTGATTGGGAAAATGTTTGTCTTTTCTCCAGTCAGGAGTAGAAAAGAAGTTGACTGCTGGTACTATTAAGGGTTAGGTTTCAGCCTTGGCTGTTTTTTTCCAAAGACCGATTGCTTCTCACTCTTTGGTTCATACTTTTTTCATAGGGAGTGATGCGTACTGTTCCTCCTGTCAGACAGCCCTGTGTCCTTGAGACTTGAACTTGGTCTTTGGCAGTTTTACAAAAACCACCATTTGAGCCTATCATGGAAATTACGTTTGTTCTGCTAACTCAAGAGGTTCAGTTTTTGGTGGCAATCACCTCTGCAAGAAGGGCATCATTGTTGGCAGCTCTGTCTTGTAGAGAACCATTCTTGCTTTTACATCAGGATAAGGTGGTGTTGCAGCCTCATCCATCCTTTTTGCCAAAGGTGATTTTTAGTTTACATTTGAATGAGGATATTGTACTTACCTCTATTTTTCCTAGGCCTCAGTAGGCAAGAGAAAGATCTTTGCTTGCCCTGGATGTGGTTCGGGCAATAAGGGTCTTTTTGAGAATGATGGCTCAGGTTAGAAAGACTGATTCCTTGTTTATTTTGCCAGAAGGTCCTAGGAGAGGACGGGCGGCATCCAAATCAGCTATTTCTAAGTGGATTTGTCAGTTAATCATTCAAGCCTATGGTCTGAAGAGCAAGGTTCCTCCCATTCGGGTGAAAGCACACACTACCAGGAGTGTGGAGGGCATCTTGGCCACCAGGCGTCAGTTGCTCAGGTTTGTAAGGTTGCTACATTGCCTTTGGTTCATGCATTCACAAGGTTTTACCAGTGGATGTTAGCGCCACGGAGGATTCTGTCTTTGGCTGCAGTGTTTTCCGAACAGCTGACTAGCTCCTTTTGAGATGATGTTGGTGATTATTGTGATGTCACCCACCTTTCAAGGCTTTATTGCTTTGGGACGTCCCACAAAGTCATTATTATGGCCTTCTCCCGTGTCCCATGATGTATGATAAAGAAAATTGGATTTTTTTTTTCTACATACTTACCTGTAAAATCTATTTCTTGCAGTACATCATGGGACACAGAGGTCACTTCCTCTTTTTAGATTTTCATTGCTTGAGAACTTCCTGTGTAGGAAGGGTTATATGGGGGAGGACTTCTTGTTTGATTGGTCGGCGAATGTCCATTCACCTATAGGTGGCATATAACCCACATAGTCATTATTATGGCCTGCTCTGTGTCCCATAATGTACTCCAAGAAATGTATTTTACAGGCAAGTATGTAGAAGAAAAAAACATTTTTATTGCTACAAAATTCATCATAAAACTAACAATAAAACCAATTGTATGTCTCTGGCATGAATGCTTGCAATCTATACCCTCAGACTTGTAATGTGCAATCAAGTATCAATAGCAATGGGCAACACAGCCCCTTATCAGACTTATTGTTATAATTAAGTCTATCCCCGACGATATAATCTTCATCTGGGGGAATATGAAAGGTACATATATTGCCAGAGTGTATAAAAGGTCATTCAAAGTCGACTTGAGGACCCACATGGACCACACGGTTTTGCATTCAACCCCAAAAAAGTCAAAATGGCCACCAAGGCCAAATGGGTGGAGCTGCAGCCCACAACCAATAGCTATAATGTTCAGTTCTTATGGAAGGGTGCAGGAGAGGAAAAAAGGTGTTCAACTCTGATAACTGCAAGTCATAAGCATCTTGGGCTCAATTTCCGAAACCCCCCCCTCCTCTGGCCACAAACCCTATTGAGGACCTTCTTGCTCAGGAATCCCTGTTTAAGCCTTTTCCCTCCCTTTACCTGGATTTGCTTAGTCTCCTAAAGGGAAAACTTGTGGGAAGCATGGAGGGCTGACATCCCTACCCTGGACAGGAAAGACTGGGAGGACTGGTTTGAGGATAGTTCCAAATTAATGATTTCCTAAGCCAAACAAAATTTCTGCATAGGGTGTACTATACTCCTCTAAGAATGCACAGAATTTACCCTCAAAGGTCTCCGGACTGCTCTCTATTTCAAACAGGTATTGGTACCTACTTTCATATTTTCTGGAGTTGCCCAGGGTAGCACAGTTTTGGGTTGATGCTTTTGCGCTTATCAATCTACATCTTCAGCTGTCCCTTCCGGTTTCTCCCGAACTAGGGTTGCAGGGTATTCAAGATGAAACACAAAGAACTTGCTATACCAAACTGCTGATTTCCTACTTATACTATGCTAAGAAAGAAATTATACTTGGGTAGAATGCTTAACAGCGCCATAGTAGTTAATTGAAAACTACAAGCTGACAGCCGCAAAGGCTGTGGGAACTTCCCATTCACAAAATACTGTTAATGAGTGACAAGGCAGGGTGGGTGGAGCCCCACATGACCACTTTTTTTAAATTGTGACAACGGGGGGGGGGGGGGGATTCCCCCACTAGCTGTCAATACTGGAGATTGTGGGGAGCGGGGCTGGTCCTTTTGGTAACATGTTACACGTTACACCATGAATATGAATGTAACATTACGAAAAGTGAACTTATCCTTTTAAGTAATGTCTGATTTTTACACCTTGAAGGATTGCATTCTGGGGGTTGTTAATATTTGCCTTGCTGTCCTGTCATTAATTGGGTTTAACTTTTCCACAGGATGCTTTGAGTTTGTGGATGTGTCTAGCGCACTCAGCATATTCTACCAACTTCTGCAAGGAGTGCGATATATCCATTCTATGGGAGTCCTTCATAGAGATCTGAAGGTATGGTGTTTCATGACTGTCAGTGTTTCATGATTGTCAGAGAGTGATCATTCCATAAAAGAAGGACATTTTTTATTTAACTCATAATATAAACTTAAAGCCAAATTCACAGAAACTGTTAAAAGATCCCTTACGGTGGGGCTGCGGGGACCAGTCTATCGGTGCAAAGGATCTGCCACGTAGACCTTCTTGTCTATGTCCTCTAGACCAAAGCAAGCAATAAACGAGCACCAGCGGCCTAATGCATACTGGTCTTTCACATACCAGTACTGTAGTATCATTTGGTGATGTGGCGAGTCCCATAAGTGCAGTACAAGCTGGTGCGGTGGCGAGCACAAGTAGTGTCCCGCAGCCCCCAAGGATTCGCACACAGGCCCGTAGAACCCATAGTATCCTTCCGGATGTGCTTGCAAATCCTGATTGGCAGCCCACAAATTCTGCAGCACCCGCACTTCCCCTATTCACTGCCCAACCCGGAATTTAGGTGGAAACGGCAAATGTAAATACTCCCCTTGATTTTTTTGGAGCTGTTTTTCACAGAAGATCTGTATGCATTGATTGTGGATCAAAGCAATTTATTTGCACAACAGTTTATCGCCGTCAACCAAAATTCAAACCTTGCCAGACCATTCGCATGGAAACCCATTGCGGTTTCCAAATTTAAAGTTTTTTGGGGGCCTAACCCTCAACATGGACATTACTAAAAAAAATTAATTGCGGTTGTATTGATCCACAGACCCGATTCATCATATGCCTGTGTTCTCTGCTGCGTTTTATGCATTTCAACGACAACACACTCTGTCATTCTCAGGGTGACCCTGAATTTGACCAGCTCCACAAAATTCGGCCCCTCGTAAATCACCTTAACCAAAATTTTGCAGATGTCTATACTCCCCAGCAAAACATCTGCGTTGATGAGTCCCTCATTAATTTTTCTGGCCGCCTTGCATTTAAACAATTTCTCCCCAGCAAGCGTGCCAGATATGGGGTCAAGATGTGGAAGACCTGTGAGAGGGCAACAGGCTATACATATAAGTTTTGGATTTATGAGAGAAAAGATAGTCACGTGGAGTCCTCCGGATGCCCAGACTACATGAGGAGTAGTGGCAAGATAGTTTGGGACTTGGTGTCATCCTTTTTCCTTATGGGGTACCACTTATACGTGGACAATTTTTATTCAAGTGTGCCACTATTTAGACATTTGTACAATCTTGGAATTGGCGCATGTGGTACCGTGCGACCTAATCGCTGGGGCTTCCCCCAACGGCTTGTAAATACCCGACTCAGAAACAGGGAAAAAGCCTGCTTGAGAAATGAGGAATTGCTCGTAGTGAAGTGGAAGGACAAATGGGATGTTTTCGTCCTGTCTTCCATTCACACAGATACGACCATCCAAATTGCCACAGCAGCTGGTGATGTTGAGAAGCCCCTTTGTGTCCACGACTGTTATAGTTATAGTTATAACTATGTTATAGTTAACATGGGAGGGGTGGACTTCAACGACCAGATGATGAAGCCGTACTTAGTTTCCCGAAAAGCCAGACACTGATACAAGAAAGTGTCTGTTTATTTATTTCAATTGGCTTTACATAATGCTTTTGTGCTTTATAAAGCAACTGGATGAAGTGGATCCTTCCTAAAATTCCAGGAAGCGATCATCATGGCTCTTTTGTATCCAGAACGTGCTGTGGCCCAGTCCCCCAACACAGATGCAGCTAGCCGGCTGCATGAGAGGCATTTTCCAGATGCCATTCCTGGTACCCCAACCCAAAGGACCACCCCAAAAAAGATGTCATGTCTGTCGCAGACATGGAATTAGGCGTCACACTCGCTTTTTTTTTTTGTCCCGCCTGTGCTGGCCAACTTGGTCTCTGCCTAAAGGACTGCTTCCGTCGCTACCACACACTAGTGGAGTACTGGTATAGGGTACAGCATGGCACAGTTCAGGGCACATATTTACACAGGGTCTCAAAAGATGTTCGGTAGTCAGGAAACTGGCTATCACATTTTGAGAGACCCTACAACAGCAATGGGCAAACTACGGCCCGCGGGCCGTATACAGCCCGGCGGACCTTTTAATCCGGCCCGCGGAGCTAGGCTCCCGCTAGGCTCCTCTCACAGTCCGCCCTGTTTCCTATGAGGATCTGTCCCCCCTCGACGTATCTGTGCATGTGCCGGAGATCGCCGATCAGCTGCTAATGCCTGAAACTGGCACATGCGCAGATACGTCGAGGGGGACAGATCCTCATAGGAGACAGATTTTCATGCTACACCGAACGGCGCGGGAACAAGAGGAACGCGCGGAGCAAAGGTAAGTGAATTGACACAGGGGGGACATGGGGAATGAATTACTATATGGGGGATGAATTACTATATGGGGGATGAATTACTATATATGGGGGATGAATTACTATATGGGGGATGAATTACTATGGGGGATGAATTACTATATGGGGGATGAATGAATTACTATATATGGGGGGGGGATGAATTACTATGGGGGGGGATGAATTGCTATATGGGGGACGAATTACTATATGGGGATGAATGATATTACTATATGGGGGGGGATGAATTACTATGGGGGATGATGAATTACTATATGGGGGATTAATTACTATGCTTACTATGGGGGAATATTACTATACTTACTATGGATGACACATACACATCATTCATCTACTCTTGGTCCGGCCCCCGGGTCCAATATATGAACCCATTGCGGCCCTCAAGTCAAAAAGTTTGCCCACCCCTGCCCTACAATCTATTTTAAAAAGTTAGTTTAAAAAAAAAAAAAAAAAGTACAAATCCCCCCCAAAATTTAAAATGATAAAAACCAAAACTAGTTCCATTTTTGTTTTGTTGTTACTGTTCTACTGTTTAAAATTTTACTGTTTTATTGTTACTCTTTTATTGTTAACCATTGCTGTTTTCTTTGCAGGAATGGCATTCAGCTGCAGCACCGACCTGTTTATTCTGACAGCAACAGGAACTTGCTCTCAGAATATACATAAGTAGGTGTGTGCAGTGCTGTTGGATGAGATTTTTCATCCGCAGTTAAATAAAGAGCATATATGCCGAAGCTTGGAGGCCTGGGGTGGCCAGTGGGTGGATGGCCCCTATGCTTCGTCATATATATTTTATAATATTTTTACGCACATTTCATACTGGTACATCACTGGACTTTGAGTGGTTATACCAGGATGATGCCTGCAGCTGCATTGTCTCAGCTGACTGGTCTCAGAGGAAAGGATTTATGTTAATGAAAATTTAATATAGCTGTCTTGGGTCATCTCTTTTAGGCAGAGTTAGGCTGCTGATCCATTTTTTCTTCCACTTTTGCGTTAAAAAAAAGTGGAATAAAAAATGTGTGACTGTGTATTCCTATGGAAATATTCACACTGATCCATTGTGAGTCAGGTGTGTTTTTCTAACCACTTGAGCTCCAGAGGATTTACCCCCCTTAATGACCAGGCCTCTTTTTGCTACTTGGCGCTGCACTAATTCAAATGATAATTGTGAGGTCATGCAATGCTGCACCTAAACGAAATTTACGTCCTTTTTTTCACACAAATAGAGCTTTCTTTTGGTGGTATTTGATCACCTGTGCGCTTTTTATTTTTTACGCTATAAACAAAAAAAGACCAAATATTTTGAAGAAAAACAATATTTTTTACTTTCAGCTATAAAAAATATATAGTAAACTCAAAGTTAGTTATAAATTTAGGCCAAAATGTATTCTGCTACATATTTTTTGGTAAAAAAAGTGTATATTGATTGCTTTGTGTGAAAGTTATAGCGTCTACAAACTATGGTATAGATACTGCAATTTTACGACATTTTTTTGCTATTCAGCGCTGCGCTAGTTTAACGGACAATTGCGCGGTCATGCAATATGGTACATAAATGAAATTTATGTGATTTTTTTTAACACAAATAGAGCATTCTTTTGGTGGTATTTGATCACCTGTGCACTTTTTATTTTTGGCGCTATAACCAGAAAAAGTTTTGAAGAAAAAAATTTTTTTTGAAAAAAACAATATTTTCTCAATTTGATCATAAAAAAATCTATATCTAAAAAAACTAAAATTTTGTCATAAAATTAGGCCAAAATGTATTCTGCTACATGTTTTTGGTTAAAAAAATCCCAATAAGTGTATATTGATTGCTTTTTGTGAAAGTTATAGCATCTACAAACTATGGTATAGATAATGGAATTTACACAGCTTTTACTTTCTGACTGCCCATCACATTTCTGAGGTGCTAAAATACCAGAATAGTACAAACACCCTCAAATGACCCCTTTTCAGAAATTAGACACCCTAAGCTATCTACTGAGAGGCATATTGAGTCCATGGAAGATTTTTTTTTTTCCACAAGTTTCTGGAAAATGACAAAAACTTTTTTTTTTTCCTTTTTTTTTTTTTTTTTTTACACAAAGTTGTCATTTAAATGATTTTTTTCTCGCACAAGCCATGGGTATATGTGGAATTACACCCCAAATTACATTCTGCTACTTCTCCTGAGTATGGGGATACCACATATGTGAGATTTTTGGAAGCCTAGCCACATACAGGAGCCTGAAATCCAATGACCACTTTGAAAGCCTGAAGGTGCGTAACTTCCTCATTACACTTCCTCACTACCTATCACAGTTTCGAAGGCCCTGACATGCCAGGATAGCCCCAAACCCCCCCCCCAATGACCCCTTTCTGGAAAGTAGACACCCCAAGGAATTTAAAAAGAGGCATGGTGAGTATTTTGCAGATCTCATTTTTTCTCACAAGGTTTTGAAATATAAAAAAAGAACAGAAAAAATATGTTTTTGTTTTTTTTTTTTTCTTCATTTTCCAAACACTTGTGGCAACAAATGAGATCTGCAAAATACTTACCGTGCCTCTTATCAAATTACTTGGGGTGTCTACTTTCCAAAAAGGGGTAATTTGGGGGGGTTAGGTGCTATCCTGGTATTTCAGGGCCTCCGAAACTGTGATAGGTAGTCTGGAAGTGTAATGAGGAAATAAAGCCCTTTAAAAGCCTGAAGGTGCTTATTGGATTTTGGGGTCCTGTACTTGGCTAGACTGCCAAAACGTCTCTCACATGTGGTACCCCCATACTCAGAAGAAGTAGCAAAATGTATTTTGGGGAGTAATTCCACATATAACAATGGCATGTGTGAGCAGTAAATCATTTAAGTGACAATTTTGTGTAAAAAAAAAAAAAAAAAAAAAAAAAAAATTATTTTTGTCATTTTCCAAAAACTTGTGGTAAAAAAATAAATTCTTCTATTGATTCAACATTCCTCTCAGCAAATAGTTTGGGGTGACTACTTTCCAAAAAGGGGTCATTTTGGGGGGTGGGGGCGTTTTATGCCCAGCATTAGAAGTTTATGCCACACTTCATTCACTCTTCTAACCACCTGAAGACCAAGCCTTTTTGTTCACATGAAAACAATCAGTATTTTTTGCTAGGAAATTAATTTAAACCCCCAAATATTATATATTTTTTTAAAGCAGGCACCCTAGTGAATAAAATGATGGGTACTACAATTTTTTATGGCACATAGTACTCGCGCAAAGTGATTTTTCAAATGCAATTTTTTAAAAAAATATACACTTTTTTTTACTTTTAATGCACAAAAACACAATATATTGGCCAATTGTTTGGTAAAATATAAAAGATAATGGTATGCCGAGTAAATAGATACCAAACATGACATGCTTTAAAACTGCGCATGCCACGTTCAATGGCGACAAACTGCAAACATTTTTAATATCCATAGGCAGCGCTTTAATAGCCTTTAAAAGCCACCATTTTACATTTACAGAGGAGGTCTAGTGTTAGAATTACTGCCCTTGATCTGACGTTCATGGTTATACCTCACATGCATGGTGCAACCGCTGTTTACATAACGGCACAGGGTCAAGGCTTGTGCGCACAGGTGTGCGCACATGGGAGGGGCAATTTTTTTTTTTTTTTTTTTTTTTTATAGTTATTTTGATTTTTTTTTTATTATTTTTACATTGTACCTTTTCATTTTTTTTTTTTTTTTTTAATCACTTTTAATGCTATAACAGGGAATGTAAATAACCCCTATAACTTCAATGGGCATTGTCATATATTCTTTTTTGAGAAATCTGGGGTCTATCAGACTCTAGATATCTCCTCTGCCCTTACATTATCTAATCAAACCAAAATCGGTGTGATCAGATGCTTTCCCAATTTACAAATGGCGCTGTTTATATCCTGCGAAACTGAAGTGATGAAATGCTTGTAGATTCCGAATTCTTAGACTATAGAGATGATTGGCATCATTCTGGTGTCCAATCAGCTCTATGGTCAGCTGGCAGAAACACCGGCAGCATTCTCAGGTTCCCCCGGTGGCACAAGACTGCCCGAGAAGGCCGTGGAAGGCAGCGGGGGAGGGGGGACATAATCTCCCACTGCTTGTAAAAGCAATCTTGCAGCTAATTAGCCACTAGGATTGCTTTTACATGAAAGCCGATCACCCGGCTGAAAAAAAAAAACGATACCAGGATGATGCCTGCAGCTGTAGGCATCATCCTGGTATAACCAATTCAAATCCAGTGATGTACCAGTACGTCGCTGGTCCTTGTTTGGTATATATGCTATGTTCTTTTTTTTTTTTTTTTGTATGCAGCCTGTGGGCTGAATGAAAAAATTGAAGAAATCTCTGCTAGAAAAAGTAGGTGGTATGCCCACCATTAGAATATACCACCCTGCATCCACCCACTTCTAATGATGGGCACACATTAGGTCACACTTTGCCACAAGTGCCAGTTCCAAGATTGAATAAATGTCTAAATAGTGGCACGCTTGAATAAAAATTGTCCACGTATAAGTGGTACCCCATATGGAGAAATGATGACACCAAGTCCCAAACTATCTTGTCACTGCTCCCCATGTATTCTGGGCATCCGGGGGGCTCCACGTGACTATCTTTTCCCTCATAAATCCGAAACTTATAAGTATAGCCTGTTGTCCTCTCACAGGTCTTCTACATCTTGACCCCATATCTGGCACGCTTGCAGGGGAGAAATTGTTTGAATGCAAGGCGGCCAGAAAAATTAATAAGGGACTCATCAACGCAGATGTTTTGCTGGGGAGTATAGACATCTGCAAATTTTAGGTTAAGGTGATTTACGAGGGGCTGAATTTTGTGGAACCGGTCAGATTCAGGGTCAGATGTATAAAACACATTATACTCTCATATCTATGCCTGGCCATGGCAGCAGAGAACACGGCATATGATGAATGGGGTCTGCGGACCAATACAACCGCAATTCATTTCTTTTAGTAATGCCCATGTTGAGGGTTAGGCCCAAAAAAAATTTAAATTTGAAAACCGTAATGAGTTTCCATGCGAATGGTCTGGCAAGGTTTGAATTTGGGTTGGCGGCGATAAATTGTTGTGCATATAGACTGCTTTGATCCACAATCAACGCATACAGATATTCCGTGAAAAAACAGCTCCAAAAATCAAGGAGGTATGTGAAAGACCATAATGTACTACACCGCTGGTACTCCGTTCACCAAAAGGTAGAGTGGCACTAGCACTGGCACTCTGCTGCATATGAGAGTCATCAAAATTTACCGACAAGTGCTAACTGATCAGGCCTGATTCTGCCAACACTGCGCGGTTTTTGTGTGCAATGTATCAAGTGACAGTGACCTACTGACACTGCACTTGCTGGGGGAGAAGGGGGGGGTAAGCGTAGGGGCTTAACGCAGGTGTTGGCAGGTGCAGGGGCTGATCCCGCTAACGCTGCGTTTTTGGGGAAGCTATACTAATGTGAACGCTGGTTTAGTGCTGATCTGATCAAAGATATTGACCCGTTCAGACACTATACTAGCAATGGAGGTTTATTGTACATGGGCGTGCTCCTGGCAATCTAGGGGTTAAATGGGATGACTGGTGTACTGTCGGGCAATCTGACGCTATCTGGGAGGGGTTTGAAAACCACGGGAGCGCGAATTACGTATATATATATGTGATTTTGCGTACCCATGCGCCCTGTAGCAGTATTTCTGCTGTAGGGTGGTAAGGAAGCGGTTACAGAAGAGGTTTGTGTTATGGCGGTGCGTTACTTTAACTGACAATTGCGCGGTCATGCAACACTGCACCCAAATTAAATTTACATCTTTTTTTTCCCACAAATTGAGCTTTCTTTCGGTGGTATTTGATCGCCTGTGCGTTTTTAATTTTTTGCGCTATAAAAAAAGGCTGACAATTTTGAGACAAAAAAAACAATATTTTGGACTTTTTGCTATAAAACATGTCCAGAAAAAAAAATTAAAAAATCAAATTTTGTCACAAATTTCATCCAAAATGCATTCTGCGACATGTCTCTGCTAAAAAAAATCCCAATACGTGTAAATTAATTGGTTTACGTGAAAGTTAAAGCGTTTACAAATGGCAGGAAAGATACTGGGATTTTTTATTTTATTTATACTAATAATGGTGGCGATCAGCGACATATTGCGGCGATCAGCGACTTATGGCGGGACTGCGACTTATGGCGGGACTGTGGCGGACATTTTGACACTGGGGGGGAACTGACTTGGGGTCACTGACATCCCCAGTGACACCAATACAGTGATCAGTGAAAAAAAAAAAACCACTGACACTGTACTAATGGCAATGGGGAGGAAGGGGTTAACATTTTTAGTGTTCACTGTGTGAGGGGACTGTTTTACTAGGGGACGGGGGTGTGTGCTTGAGGGGGGGAGGGAGGGGGGAGCTGATCGAGGGAGAAAACTCTTCTCTCCCTCTGCAGCTTGTCACGAGCTGACGGCAACTGACAGATAACAGGGCTGTGTGTAAACAATGCAGCCCTGCTATCTGTCAGTGATCACAGCTCATCGCGGCCAAACGGCCGGTAATCACTGGCCGTGACCCGGCAGCTGGGACCCGCTGCTGACACCCGCGGGACAGGTAGGGCGGGCACCCTACCTGTTTTGCAGGACCACGTTTTAAAACTTGGTTTTGCCTGTGAGTGCCGCCCTGCCACCGTATATCTACAGTGGCTGGGCGGCAAGCGGTTAAAATCCAGCTTTTAAACCAAAAAAAACGCACTTCCCCCTTTGAAATCAATGGAAAACGCTGCAAAAATGTATCAAGCACGCACACGTGGTACGTTTTTGAGTAACCTGTCCTGTAAAAAATGTGGTAAAAACGCATATGCGTTTTTGCTAGGATCAGTGTGAAAGTTGCCTAATCTGTGTCTAGCTATTACAATGAGCCCACCCCTGTTCTGTTGCGCTAAAAAAATTTTTATGTCTTCCTTGAGCAGCCAAGAAATATTTTCTTGCAAGGACCAGACTTGCATGTACGCATTGGGGATTTTGGGCTCGCTTGCAGAGATATTTTGCAACCTTCAGACCACGGGTTAAAGAAAGATGGGACCACAGGTGAGTGTGCTCTAATTGTTTAACATGTAAGAAAAACCATAAATTGGCTTATGGGTATGTCTGTCGGGGTGTAATTATGCCACACAGCTTTGGGTTTATTTACAGTAGATATCTTCTGCTCCACCAACCCAGTTTGAGTCGATGAGTGCAGCCACTTTTTTCTTTTTTTTTTTTATTTTGTGTACAAAAAGCCTTCTTTTATGAACAAAGAGATCCTGGTGGTCGCTTCTGTCCTGAAATGCTTCTCTTTGTCCATCAGTGGTAATGTTGTGTGTATGCTGGAGCCAAGGTGAGTATACTTCCACTTTAATGTAGACCTGGCACAAACATGGCATGTGCGGACTGGCATTTCAAACTGAGCATATGATTTAAGGATACATAATCAGAGGCTACCTGAAGTGAAAACCACATTTCAAAATAGTAGATTTAGATAAGTTTGCTAGTGTATATGCATATCTCTGCTTTACCTGTAAATTTTAAACATCTTGCCTTCAGAGCCTCTGTATTGGTCCTTCAATGTGATTGACAAACTCTGTAAATGTACAGGAAGGCTTTGGAAGTTGAAGTGGGGGAGCCAAGCGTGACTTTCAAAAAAAAAAAAAATAAAAATACTTGTATGTTACAGCTTATATCTCTGGATTTAGAGAGGATTGCCCAATCCCAGGCAGGCAGAAAAAAAAAAAACTAAACCCACTCCAGCTGATGATCTGACCCAGAGTAAAATTTTGTTTAATCCATGGCTCTGCAGCATTCCTCCCTACCAATTTTGGTTGTGTCAATCAGTCCCACATAGCCACTCTTTTTTTCACTGTCCCTCTCGCTTACAGTATCTTGTACAATGCACCAGCGGCTGCCACAATTATTATTATTTTATTTCAGATGATGCATTTTGTATTCTAACTAAACCATGTAACTTGTCACATGCAGACTCAATGCATACTTCAGGAGTTGGCACCTGTTTATATGCTGCTCAAGAACAGTTAAAAGGATCACACTATGATTTTAAGGTACTGTGTCACTTTTTATGCTTAACACAAAGATAAAGGAATACATTGTTGCATGTGTATATTATTTCTGTTGGTATCAACATGCAACAACAAATTTCAACAGTTTCAACATTTCCATTTGTAATATTTCTAGTGGGATGTACTGCTGTCATTTTAAACCATACAATTGTATCTTGCAGTCTGATATGTACAGTGTGGGTGTTATATTATTGGAACTCTTCCACCCGTTCTGGACTGAGATGGAGAGAAATGACATTTTAACATTGTTGGGCAAAGGCATTGTTCCAAAATCCTTTGAAAATCATTGGCCAATGCAAACCAGATATGTTAAGCTACTCACCAATGCAGACTGTGGACTGCGACCATCTGCTGATCAAATGCTGAAATGTGAACTCTTTCGTGAAAAGGAAAATGTAAGTGTTAAGGGTAATATTTACGTAACAAAAAACTTTTTTTTTTTTTTTAATCCTGAGTCCTGACCATTATGAAAAAAGAAAATATGCACAAAGCTACTATATAGTTCCTTAAAAGCACACGCTGCTACATAAATAGATGTGTCTTGAACATACTGTATATGCAGTGTAGTCAAGCTTTATCAAATGTTACCATCTGGACCTACTGGCAAATCAAAATTCGGGCACTTTCCACTATAATCCCGCTCTGAAGATGTTTGTGCCATGCTGTTGTGAAGCAAGCAAAAGGACTTTATCGTCATCGGAGTTTATGGTTATCAGATTTGCACAATAGGCTGTTCCCAACCAAACCAGTTAATAGGTCATATACAAGTATTCAGAAAAAAGGCTTTAACCCTTCCCTATCTACTTCCTGTCAGTTATGTAGGAGAAGCAGTTTCTTAGTTGACTGATGGGATAAGAGTAATTCCCTGCTATCAGAATAAGACATGAGCAATGGCAGCCTCCACATTTTTCTCTTTAAAGGTTTATTCACTTTAAGAGCTAGCAGTACAGTTTTTGCAGTGTTGAAATATCAGACTCTGATCTTCATAGTTATTCCAAATCAGTGACTCAAATTCTAATTAAGATTGACAGTCAGGCAACTAACATATGTGCTTCTTTTTTTCTTCCTCCTGTTACTAGGTGATCCAGAATCTCCAGCAAAAAGTTCTCAGTTTAGAGGAGGAAAACGAGAGACTGAAAAAGAGCCTAGAGCTGTTACAAGAACAGATGTCAATCAGACCGGGAATAGAATCCCCGGTATAAATTCCTCCTCACCTCATGCCAGCTTGTCCCTTGCCTATGGTACATAAATTGCACATTGATGTAAAATAAAATCACTTTTATTTATATACACATGCCTTTGTTTTGGAATTATACTTGTGAAATGATATACTGCATAAAGATGTCTTAATGGTTTTAGTTTTTATTAAACAAGTTTCTATAAAGTTTCAAAGTATGAAGTCTGGACATATTTGGGATCCGACCTATACAATACTTTCTACAGTTGTGCACTAAGCGTGACGTCACGAGGAGCCTAATTGTCACAAGGACCCATTCACTTTTGAATTGTGATAAGGTATATTACCACAACATGAGTGCTGTGGTGCATTGCAGTGCAAGTGGTCAATTCTCAATGCACGTTGTGTTTAGCCCATGCAAATGCACAACAGAACATCATAATGCACGCTTAGTGTGTTGTAGTGTACTGCATTCCCCCAAAAAATCAGTCATGCATTTTTTTGGTCCTTTTGTATCGACAGTCCAGAATAATAAATTCTTAACTCAACAGATGTTAACGCACAACAATATACATGTTAACACAACGCAATGGGCTGCTAAAGTCTGAATACACCTTTAGGCCTTGTTCACACCAGTGTGCAGAGATGGCAGTTTTTCTGCATGCATTCTGCAAGGGCACAACAAAATCAATTGTTCTCTATGTGCCCTGTTCACGCCATAACACTAGTATCACATGCAGATTTTTTTTCTGTGCAGGAATCTGCAACATGTATAAAACTCATTGAAAACTGATGTCTCTGCAACTGAAATCTGCATGTCAGTTTTCCTGCACGTATGGTGAGAAAGTACAGTAACTTTCTTTCAATGTACCCAGCTGAAGTGACTGTTCAAATGTAAAGTAATTGGCCTCAGTTGAGAGTTGTATTCTATCTTTCTGAAGCAGTTATTTTGGAAAGGTGGTGCATTGTAAACATTTTAAGTCATTTACATATTTGCTCAGATTTTCTTGGTGGTTTAAAGCAAAAGCAAAGTCAGCAATACATACCTCTCCTCCAGCAAAGCAACATCCTTGCCCAGTCATCCGTTGGGTTCAGCATCTTCAGCCATCTTAACCACTTGCCGCCCAGCCACTGTATAAAAACGGTGGCAGGACGGCACGGCTGGGCAAAAGCACGTTTTAAAACATGCTGTTGCAAAACAGGTAGGGGGCGCGCGCAAGGCTTGCCGCCGCCCTACCTTCACCACCGATCTCAGCCGTGGGTGTCAGTCGCTGGGTCACAGCCGGTTGTTATCAGCTGTGTCCCGGCGATTTGCGGCAATCCGTGACAGAGAGCAGGGCTGCAGTAGCTCTGCTTTCTGTCACTTCCCTGACAGTTCCAGACAAGCAGACCGGAGAAAAGAGTTTCTCCCTCCCATCTGCTTGTCTCCCTGCAGTACACACCCCCGCCCCCTAGTAAAACACTCCTCTCACACAGTTAACCCTTTCAGTGCAAAAAAAAGTTAATCCCTTCCTCCCCAGTGCCATTAGTACAGTGTCAGTGTTTTTTTTGTTTTGTTTTTTTTGCACTGATCACTGTATTGGTGTCACTGGGGATGTCAGTGACCCCAAGTCAGTTCCCCCCCAGTGTCAGAATGTCTGCCGCAGTCCCGCCATAAGTCGCTGATCGCCGCCATAAGTCACTGATCGCCGCTATTATTAGTATAAAAAAAAAAATTTAAAATCCGAGTATCTTTCCCGCCATTTGTAATCGCTGTTTTTTTTTTAGCAAAGACATGTCGCAGAATGCATTTTGGCTGAAATATTTGATGAAATTTGATTTTTACATTTTTTTTTACTGGACATATTTTATAGCAAAAAGTACAAAATATTGTTTTTTTTTCTCTCAAAATTATCAGCCTTTTTTTTTTATAGCGCAAAAAAAAAAAAAACGCACAGGCGATCAAATACCACCGAAAGAAAGCTCTATTTGTGTGAAAAAAAGGACATAAATTTCATTTATGTACCGTATTGCATGACCGCGCAATTGTCCGTTAAACTAGCGCAGCGCGTATAGCAAAAAAATTGCATAAATTGCAGTATGTATACCATAGTTTGTAGACGCTATAACGTTCGCACAAAGCAATCAATATACACTCATTGGGATTTTTTTTACCAAAACATGTAGCAGAATACATTTTATCCTAAATTTATAACGAATTTGAGTTTACTATATATTTTTTAAAGCTGAAAGTAAAAAATATAGTTTTTCTTCAAAATGTTTGGTCTTTTTTTTTTGTTTATTGCGTGAAAAATAAAAAGCGCACAGGTGATCAAATACCACCGACAGAAAGCTCTATTTGTGTGAAAAAAAGGACGTAAATTTTGTTTGGGTGCAGCGTTGCATGACCACGCAATTATCAGTTGAATTAGTGCAGCTCCGAGTAGCAAAAAGAGGCCTGGTCATTAAGGGGGGGTAAATCCTCAGGAGGGCAAGTGGTTAAACAGTTAGGATGATGTAACGTCTATGCAGGAGCATTGGAATTCAAGGAACACTAAACAATTCCTAATTTTCCAAAAATAATCCATGCACATCCACTACCTAATGAACCTGTTCTATCTATTTTTTATTCACCTGTGTTTTTCTGTCTCCTTGTAGTGTCCTCGAGTTCCCAAACCTCTCCTTTTTCCCTCCCTTCCAGTTGTTTGGAATGAGCAGTGCAAGATAATTGAGGTCACGTGCACTGCTCTATGAACACTAAGCATCCAATAGCCCCATGTCCTTCTCAGGAGCAAGCAAGAGAGGGTGGCTAAATTCCTAAATACAGTGGAGCCATGGAGAATTTACATCACTGTCTAATAGGGAGTCAGATCACAGTAGCAAAAACAAAGGGATATGAAGATTTGGAGAAGGCTGAGAGCAAAAGTCAAGAATGCATAGTTGAATCAATTTTTGTTTTCTTTTTAAACCAGAGTTTAATATCTCTTTAAAATGGTTGAAAGGCTCAAGGATTTTTACCTTCATGCATTCTATGCATGAAGGTAAAAAATCTGTGTGCAGCAGCTCCCTCAATACTCACCTGAGCCTCATCGCGATCCAGCCATGTGAATGACAGCCTCGGCTGTCCTAGGTCTCCGCCTCCTCATTGGCTGAGACAGCAAGTGGGAGGATGAAGTACAATCATTTATCAATTTGTGATCAATTTAGGTACAAGTGATTTATGATCAATTAACCACTTCCATACAGGGCATATTTACTCCCTTCCTGCCCAGGACAATTTTCAGCATTTAGTGCTGTTGCACTTTGAATGACAATTGCGCGGTCGTGCAAAATTGCACCCATATGAAATGTTTATAATTTTTTTCACACAAATATAGCTTTCCTTTGGTAATTAATCCCCACTGGGTTTTTTTATTTTTTTGCACTGCACTATAAATGAAAAAAGACCAAAAATTTGGGGGAAAAAAGTTTCTTTGTTTCTATTATAAAACTTTGCAAATAAGTCATTTTTCTTCATAAACTTTGGCAAAAATGTATACTGTTCCATAACTTTGCTAAAAATAACCCAAATCAGTGTATATTATTTAGTCTGTGTGAAAGTTATAAAGTCTACAAGCTATGGTACCAATCATTGAAAATTGATCACACCGTTCGCACCTGAATCATTGAGAGCCTATTTCATTTCTTGAGGCCCTAACATGCTAGGAAAGTACAAATAGACGTCAAAAGACCCCTTTTTGGAAAATAGTCCAAGGTATTTAGTATAAGACATGGTGAGTTTTTTGAAGTTGTAATTTTTTTCCCACAATTCTTTGGAAAATTAAGACCTTTTTTTTGCCACACCTGGCATAGACATTCTTGCAATTGCACTCCAAAACACATTCTGCTACTCCTCCTGAGTATTGTGATACATGTGTGAGACATTTCCACCTGGCCACATACAGAGACCCAACATCCAAGTAGCACCTTCATGTGTTCTAGAAGCATAAAAGGGGCATAAATTACACATCTAATTTCCTGACTACCTATCACAGTTTTGAAGGCCCAAGACAATGGAAACGGCCACAGAATGACCCCATTTTGGAAAGCAAACATCCCAAGGTGTATTCTATCAGGCATAATGAGTCTATTGAACAAGTCATTTTTTTTCCAAACTTTTTAGAAAATATGGAAAAAAAAAAATTAAACCACTTTTTTTCAAACAAAGGTGTCAATTTATAAGATAGATCGGGGGCATAGTCACAGATGGGGTGCTGTTTTTCCGTGAGTGCTGTTTTTGATGGAGTGCTAAGAAGTATTGAACACAGCAGTTTAACTAAAGCAGGATAACTCAAGCAGCAGGAAGATACAACTACAGCAGGAAACTCTACTTCACACTGGACAGACTGCAAGCAAACACCCTGGGAAACCTCTTACAAGTCTGAGTCCCACTCCGTGTACCTTTTAATATGTCCCCTCTACTCCTCCTTTTCATATTACTATCCTGCGTTCCCAAAATCTCACTTCTTTACCCCTCTGCTCCACCCCAAAACTTGTACATCTCACCCTCACTGCTACCATCTCCCTGCTACTGCTCTCATTACTCCTGCTGATACTTCACTCTCCTGCTGACCTAAACACCAGGAAAGGAAGGATGTGCACTCATACACATCCTGCTCCCATCTTACTTTCCTCACCCTTCTTCTCCTAACCTCTGGGGATATCTCCCCAAACCCTGGTCCTCCTAGTATCTCACCCCCAGACCAGGCATCCTCTTTCTTCAGGGAATAGCCGCAATCCCCTCAATTTAATATCAGTCCCCGTGCTCCCAAAATTCACCCTTCCTTTTTCATGTGTGCTCTGGAATGCCCACTCTGTCTGTAATAAGCTCACCTCTGTCCATGACCTTTTAATCAGCAGATTCTACTCCCGCAGCACTTTCCTATGGAGGCCTTGTCTGGACCCACTCACCCAGACTCAGTGGTCGGAAAGGTGGTGGAGTTGGTTTGCGTCTATCCCCACTGAGCACCTTTCAAGTCCTCCCTAACCCTCCCTCTCTATCCTTCT